GCTGGCGGCGCCCCGCGACCCCGCCGGCTCCTCCCCGCGGCCGAGCCCGGGGCTCAGCCCTCAGCCTGGTGGAGCAGAGATCTCCGTGTGGGGGAGGAGCCACCTGCCGCTGGCAGGGCCTGACCGAGGCTTTCCGCCTTTTTCTGGGAGCCAAAAATCGATCTGGCTGACCTTTGGAGTGGGGAGTGTGTGGAGGGGGCATTATCCCAGCTCCTAGGCTGGATTTGGAATAGCTGCTCCCCATGGACAGCCTGGGGGAAGGGAAGTGGTGCCCACCTGGCTGGCTGAGGTGTGCTGGGGTGTCGAGGTGCAAAGCGCGGCCCCGGACGTTGCTGCCATGTGTCTCCCCCGCAGTGCCTGTGCTCCTGGGGGCTTTGTGGGGTGAACACCCACGAGCTGTGAGCCAGCCACTGTGTGTGGTGCCCACCTTGCCCTCCTAGTCCTCTCCCGGAGCGGGCTGGGCTGGGGGTGTTTGGGAACTGAGAGCTCCCCGGCTGCTTCTCCGCAGGGAACATCGTGGGGGTCGGGCAGTGCCTGCTGCAGGGCATGACGGTTGTCATCCGCAAGAAGTTCTCAGCCTCACACTTTTGGGAGGACTGCGTGAAATACAACTGCACGGTGAGGCCAGAAGCCAGCCGGGAGTGGGCAGCAGAGCCTGGGGTTCTGTGCTGTGCTGGGGAGAGCCCAGCTGCTGGAAGAGGGGGAGGCCCAGACAGGTTTTGCCTGTCCATCCCAAACCACCTTGCCAAGGTGTCCTTCCCACCTGGGGTGGTTAACTCCACGTGTCCCAGCCTTTCCCATGCTCCAGGAGTAGCCAGGCGGTCTCAGATAGGTATGGTGTCCTGAAGGGGCGGGTTAGGCGGGGAAGGACAGGCGCTGGATGAGCTGGCAGGACTCCTGGCTTTCACCGCGGTACCTGTAGGGGACTTTGGGCACGTCGTGTAATTCCTACCTGCCCTGAAGAAACCCCAAGCGACCCAGGGCCTGGCAGAGGGGTCCTAGCGAGTCTTTCCATGCCCCACAGATTGTGCAGTACATCGGGGAGATCTGCCGCTCCCTGCTGACCCAGCCCTACCAGGAGGCGGAGCGGCGGCACCGGGTGCGCATGGCGCTGGGCAACGGGCTGCGCGCCTCCATCTGGCGCGAGTTCATGGCCCGCTTCGGCATCGCCCAGGTGGCCGAGTTCTACGGGGCCACCGAGTGCAACTGCAGCCTGGGGAACTTCGATAACAACGTAAGGCTTCAGCGCCCTCCCCGTGTCCCAGAGGCCTGGGCAGGGTTGGAAACCCAGACAGGATGTTTGCTCCTGGTTGCTTGCTCCAAGAGGTTTAGCGTGGGTTGCTATCCACCCCGAGGGGTTTTGGCTGTTGTTGGGGCCTGTGGTATCCTGGATGTGTGTGGGCAGCAGGCTCAGGGTGGGTGTGCCACCCACACTTGTCTCTTTCTGTTCCAGGTTGGGTCGTGTGGCTTCAACAGCAGGATCCTACCGGGTGTGTACCCCATTGGCTTGGTGAAGGTGGATGAAGACACCATGGAGCTGATCCGGGGGCCCGACGGTCTCTGTATCAGCTGCAAACCAGGTGAGGGCAACCACAGGGATAAGCCTCCTCAGCTCTGTGCAAGTCTTTCCTGATGCTTCAAGATAATTTACCTAGATTTGACTCTCTGCTCAGTTAAACCCCACCAACCCTATTAGACACCCTCTGTGCTTGGATGTGGGTAGTTGCTTCCCCCTTCATCCCCTTTTCTTCCTGCAGGGGAGCCAGGACAGCTGGTGGGCCGCATTGTCAAGAGCAACCCCTTGCAGCACTTTGATGGCTACTTGAACCAGTCGGCCACCAACAAGAAAATCGCCAGGGACGTGTTTACAAAAGGGGACTTTGCCTATCTCACAGGTGAGGCAAGCAGGGCCCTGCTGTCCGCTGAGAGCAGAGAAGGGTACCTGGGTGGGCATGGGGGCTGTCCCAGGCTTAGCAGCACTGCCCTGAGAGGCTCCAGGGTTGCTCCTTGTCCCTCTCACACCTCTTTTTTTTTTTTTTTTTTTGTTTATTCCTCATTTTCTTGTAGGGGATGTCCTGGTGATGGACAAATATGGCTACATGTACTTCCGGGACCGCACCGGGGACACGTTCCGCTGGAAGGGGGAGAACGTCTCCACCACAGAGGTGGAGGGGACACTGAGCCGCATCCTCAGCCTGACGGACGTGGTGGTTTATGGGGTGGAAATCCCAGGTAGCTGAGAAGGTAGAGGACAATCGGGGGAGGCAGGCAGACCTCTGGCACTCGAATGTGAGCGTGTCCTGCACGTTCAGATCGATGTGTCCTTCTGTAGGAGGCTGGACCGAGGCTCCCCTCAGCGAGCTGGGAAGAGGCCACTGGGGATGTGCCTAGTGGGAATTGGAGGGTTCCCTCCTTCCCAAGCTTTGGTTTTGGAAGGACCTTGTGTCCATTCTTGACAGGCTGCCAGTGCCTC